GCATGACCACCAAGATTGCATAAGGCTGCCTCCTGACATCTCAATCTCCACGTGTTAGTACTAAAAATAGGTGCTACAAGCAACAGCAGCTTGGGACACAGAGGAGGGGCCTGCGTCCTAGGAGAGTGGTTTGAGATCTAGGGGAGTGGCCTGAAACCCAACGCAGGGGAAACTGAGCACCTCCTATCTCGGTTGCTAAGTACCATGAATGTTAGTTAGAAGTTATCTTTGTATACGTCTCCATTCTCTGATCAACTTTTACTTTTTCTCAATGTTTTATTAGCAGTTTCTGGTAGCCATTTTTTTAGATTTTTAGCTGATGTTAGGCAGAGTTAATTATTAATAAATAAATAACAAAGGACAGAATCTGATGCATAGTGAATTTGCAACCACTTGGTTAGCACTTTAATAAATGCTTCAATGAATGCACAAGAATTAAGGAGGTAAGATTGTGGCTAACTTTACAAATTTTTTTCAGCTTTTTCTCATTGTTATATTAGGATATGGCATAGTATGGAGTAGACCTGGATTTTTGCTACCACTTATGTTAGTCTTGGTTAACTTACATGTGTGTGCGTGCGTGCGTGTGTGTGTAGTGTGTGTGTGTATGGCTGGTCAGTATGGGGATCCAAACCCTTGACCTTGGTATTATAACACTGTGCTCTAACCAACTGAGCTAACCATCTAACCCAACTCATATATTTTAATGCTTAATTAAGAGAAAATTTGGTATGCCAAAAAGTTGTTGATAGGTATGAGAATTATATATATTTTTACATGCTGGATAAATCTATGAATGTTAACTCAAGAGTTTACTTAGTTACTTGTATAAATGTGCTGAGAATCATAATCTGCAGGTGAATATGCAATAAAATGTGTACTTTAAATTCTAAATTGCTTATATAAATATAAGATGGAACTTCATGTGGAGAAAACAATTAAGTTTTGCAAAACTTAGAATTTCAAATATAACTTTGGCTTTACATAATTTTACTTAAATTTATGGGGTCGGGATTATAGAGAACATCATGTGAAATTTCCTGCTTTTAAATATCTGTTTCTTACCAGTTTTATTTTCTTCATACATACTTTCTTATGCTTCTGATGTTCAGATTGTCCTATATGTTTACTAATTATGATGTTACATAATATATATGTTTATATATATTATATGCCTGCCACATCATAGTACTTCTATTTTTAAAATCTTGTTATTTTTCCCAGTCTGATTTCTTTGATATTGTCCCTCAGTGTATCCTCTGCCCTTTTCTATTAAAAAAAATTGTATTTCATAACCCAGCAATCCCTCTTCTGGGTACATACTCAAAGGAAATGAAATCACCACTTCATGAAGATATCTGCACTCCCATCTTCATTGCAGCATTATTCACAATAGCCGAGATATGGAAACAACCTAAGTGTCCGTTGATGGACCAATGGGTAAAGAAACTGTGGTACATATATACAATGGAATGTTATTCAGCCCTAAAGAAGAATGCAATCTTGCCATTTGCCACAACATGGATGGGCCTGGAGGACATTAGGCTAAGTGAGGTAAGCCAGACACAGAAGGAAAAATATTGCATGATTTTACTTAAATCATATGTGGAATAAAAAAAACCAAATATACAGAGATAGAGAACAAAAAAGTGATTACCAGGGTTGAGGGTGGGTAGAGGAAATGAGGAGGTGTAGGTCAGAGGATACAAAGTAGCAAATATGAAGGATGAACAAGTCTAGAGATCTAATGTATACCATGAAGGCTATAGATAATAAAATTGTACTGTATATGAGATTTATGCTAAATAAGTAGATTATAGCTGCTCTTGCTACAAAAACAAGAAAAAAATGGGTAGCTGTGAGATGATGGATATGTTAATTTGCATCACTAAACGTTTTACTATTTACAAGTATATGTGTCTATTAGCATTATGTTGTATACCTGAAATATACACAATAAAAAAAAGTTTACCCCATAAACAATATTCTTTTTCATGTAAATACTGTTATTTTAGGATATTGGAGTGAAAATATACTGGAATATTTTCTGAGAAATAACCAGATTACAACAGAAGATGGCGCTGAGATCATCTGGTACCATGCAGCTAACCACAAGGCACAAATGAATGAGGCACTGAAAAGTAAGTCAGTATAGTTACTTGTATTTACTTTGGATAATAGAGTAATTCAACTCCTCTTTTAATGTCTAGGCATATTTGCAGGTACCAGAGATTTGGATGACCCAAGTATGAATTGTAGGCTGACAGAAACATTTTTATATAGGTTTTCATATTGTTTACAAAATGAACAAATTCCATAATGGGAGAATTTTCTTATTTCTAGAAGTGATTTGTTTTTTATGCCTTATTTGAGACCCTCATATATTATTATGCTGTCTTATGTATTATGGTGATTTTAGTAAAATTTCTAAGATCAGGGTCATGTGTCTTACATGTTTTTGTGTCTTTCATAGTGTATTAAGGAAAGCCTCAATAATTATTTGTTAAATGGATGGATGAAGCCATTGTACTCTAATTTATAATTAATTGATTTGTTCCTTAGCTAGAAAGCAAGCGTTTGATTTACTGATTCAATCTGTAATCGTATATGTGTATATCTCTCTTCATTATGAAGGTGAACATTATAGCAGTGTTTCTCAGTCTTTTGCAATGAGATACCCATGTTAGCTGAAGCAGGAGAGGACAGTGAAAGCATACCACCAGCAAGCTGGGGCATAGCTTGAAGTGACCTGTTCCAGCAAGGAAACTTCCTTGAAATCCCAAGTTTTATTGAAAAATGTACACATTTTTTTGCATCTTACTCCATTATGTATCTGGGCTTCTTTTACTGTAAAAAAAACACTGTTTTAAATTGCTTTTCTTTGCTCCTCAAAAGGAGGAACTTTGTCTTGTTTAATATTGAATCCCTATTGCCTAAAACAGTGCCTACATAATAACTGCATAGTGATTATTTAATAAATGAATTTTAGCAAAAGCAATGCTTCAGGAAAAAGTTGATTGGTGTTTGCCAGGAGCTAGAAGGAGTGAATGCTAATGGGAGCAATATTTCTTTTTGGAATGATGAAATTTTTCTGAAATTAGATAGTGGAGATAGTTGTACAACCCTCTGAATATACTAAAAACTACTAAATGGTACATTTTAAAAGGAGAAATTTTATAGTGTGTGAGTTATATCTCAATTTTTTTAAATGGAAAAAAAGGAAAGGAAGAAATAAAACTATGATTCATAGACAATGTATATAGAAAATCAAAAAATTCTACAGATGGAAAAAACAACAACAA